GTTGAGTCCCCACCGTGACCCCGGTAATGTCGGACGACAGCCGAATCTTAGATGCTAGGGATTCCATGCATAGAGTGAACAAGAGTGGCGACAAGGGGCATTCCCGGTCGAGTCCAACGTACGTTCCTGTTCCACAATGTTCGCTTTCAATTGCTGCATCTTATGCAGGCGGTCTCTCTTAATCTTAGAGGATAGGGCTATGCAATTGCCCCTTATGGTAGCCTTGTGGGCCTCCCACAAGATAGAAGCAGATGAAACCAAACCTACATTAGTAACAAAGTATGAACGAATTACAGGTGAAACTCGAATAATTAGAATATCGTGCAAAGTTCATTTATTTCACTAATGCAACTTAAAAGGTGAAACTAATATATGAGATAGACTCATTACATGCAAAGCAAGATAATTCAAGCCGTGATTTGTCATAATTGTGATGATTATGGCTTACAGCTCATGAAAACCCCAAGAACCCCAAATCCACAACCTCAAAAAAGTAGAATATTACATGCAATCAATAAAACAAGGATTGTACATAGAACAATATCGGACCTCTGAAAAGTACAAGCATGCATATGTACTCAGTACTTGGTTTGGGCCCCTTTTGCAGCACTTACTGCAATTACTTTTGCACGATATTCTAATTATTCGAGTTTCACCTGTATATCTCCCTTGTTTATCCACTATAACCCGCTCAGGGGTAAAAGGGCAGGTATCTCTCATCAATATAGCCACCCCCGCTTTCTTGGTTGTAGAGGGCGCAGCATAGGCTCTGGGGAATTGAGACTTTAGGAATTTAAAGGAGTTAAGCGGGCAGAAGTGTGTTTCCTGTAAAAACACTATGTCAGCATTTGCAGACTTCAGTTCCCTAAACAGCAAGTTTCGTTTAGTTTGGGAATTCAGGCCTTTAACATTTAGAGAGAACAATTTACATGTAGGAATCGTCGCCATGTCGGGTATTAAAGAAAAGGAGAACCGAGTATGTTTCGGTCACCAGGTCATAGAGCCCTTGAAACGTGAAAGTCACCACTCTTGCACCCCCTACAATAGAAAAGAACGTAAGCAGACCTGAGTCACGGTGGGGAGGTATCCAGGCAACCACATCAGACCCCTGGTGAGTAAGAACCGACCGCAGCTTAATCAGCATCCATGGTGAGGTTAAGTGAGGCTGAAAAACAATACTAAAAATAACCAGAATTACAAACATATAAAAAAAAATGAGCATTGTAAGCACGGGATCAACTATCCAGAAAGAATGTGTAAGTAAGCAAAAGGCCTAATCCCATAGGATCATGCTGTTGGGCTGTGATGTGAGGGGGTTCCCTTCTCTCCCGGGCCTGTTGGGGCCTCTGTGGCTTACTCAGTCCTTCAGGTGGGGGATCCCATGGTCCGGGCGTGAACAGCCCCTGAATTGGCCCGCTGGGGTCAGGAGTCCCCCCTTCCTGAACGGCGTCCGACATCCGAGGATGGGACCGGGAGATGGACTCCCGATCAGGGCCTTCACCTGCCGCGCGGCCTGTTGAGACCACGCCACGTCTTCCGCCCCCCCCCCTGCCGGTCACCTACCCGTTCTGTCGGAGCAGTGTCCTTCCGCGGCGGTGGCGGCGAGGGCTGCGAGCTGGATGAAGGGGATTGCGAGCCCGCGTTTGAGTCACCTCCGAACGACTCCCGGGATAACTTGGAGAAGGACAGCAAGGGGCCCACGCCTGCCTCCATCGGCGCCATCTTGCCTCGTGGGTGCAGCTCCGGCCGGTCCGGCCGATCAAAGTAGCCTCTGATTGAGGTGGACGCCTGGGACTTACGGTAAGAGGACGAGAGTCCTTTAGTATGCTTTTTAGTCTTGCTCTTGCGCATGTTAGGGAGTTAGAATGGCTGCTAATTGTAGTTAGGTAGCGGGTCAGATGCGAAGCTCACTCACAGCACGTCCTCTCTCATCGCCGGCTAGCCACGCCCCCCTGCACCCATTATTTAAAGTGACGCTCATCTTAGGAGTTAAATCTTACAAATACTCTTACAAAACTTACTTAACTATTAACAAAAATGTAACTTATACTTGCATCATTTAGCTGGTAATCCTCAAATCACCTCTGACCACCACTCCACTCCAAGCTCCCTCCTGTGATGGACTACAATCTTGATACAAATTAGTAAACTAAATGTGAGATTGTAGTCCATCACAGGAGGGAACTTGGAGTTGTGGCTACTTTACAACACACACAGGGACCATGCGGAACAAAAGTAGCCACCCTCCAGAAGGAAGGACAGTGTCAGCACCAATTCTAAGATGATTTGAGGATCAACAGCTGAGTGATACATATATAAGCTACATTTTTGTTAATAGTCAAGGTACATTTTAAGATTTAACTCCTGAGTTTAGTGTCACTTTAAACATTTTAGATATACCTCAAATCAAGGTATCTTTCAGCTGGACATGTGACATTACAGGTCCTAGCCAATTTTTGTCTTGAATTAGCAGTGCACTGTCATGTAATGTGTGAGTGTCATTATGTGCATCATTATTCTGAACCCATGCCAGAGTGATGACAAACCCCAGGGGGACTTACAGAAAGTGGGATGAATGGTGCTGGGTGTCATTCAATCTAGAAAAGGATTGCTGCTGTCGGCAAGGGACAGCACCATAGCAGGGGCAGACTGACAACACATGGGGCCACCAGACAATATAAGATTATGGGGCCCCCTTGTTCTCCACCCACATACAAGCCCCACCCACAAGCCCCCCACAATAGTCTGAAAAATGCACATTGATGTGCATTGTTTTTTTCTATTTAGAGCGGCTCTATGCGTATTCATACAGCCGAATATGCGGAGACAGCCGCTCCAGTATGAATGGAGCTTTAGGTGTATATAATGCTTATATAATGGCCGCAAACCAGTGGAATCCATGCAGTTGTTTCACATATAGCGTTTGCGTCCCGTGCGGTCTTCTGCATGGAAAACCAGGTGGGAAATGCAAATGCTACGTGAATGGAGCCTAAAAGGTAAAAATCGTCCCATATCCAACTCATAACAGCGATGGGCTCCGGCTCTCCAGGTTTTTGTAAATAATAGAAAGCTTCCAGTGATGCTTACACTGTGATATAAGATGTGATAATAAGCTAATGAAAATAAAATAATATTTTACATTAAATAAAGTATATTAAAAATGTATTATAAAATATAGCATAAAATCCAAGAAGATTTTTTTTGTTTCAAAGAAAAAAAAGAATCCTCCAGTGAGGGGCCTGGGACCGCATCTCATTGGGGCCCCTCCAGCCTCGGGCTATTGTGCAGCCAGCGGTAGGTCCGCCCTCCGTCCAGCATGACATGCCCCCTGCCCATATGGTCAGACCGCCCCTGACTACAAATACATTATATTGCAAATCAGCACTGGTTAATAGCACCAGCTACAGCAACCCACCCCCCATCCAACATTTCTCTTCTTGGTGGCCAGGGGACAGGATGGAATGAAGGAGAAGGTCCTCTCCCACACAGCAGGATGTGCTGCCTGGCGGTGTCTGCAGTGTCGCTAGCGGCTCCACCAGGCTGCACAGACCTGGCAGGTGACAGATTCAACCTCTCCATCCCTGCACAGTTGCCCGTACATGCAGCAGTCTTACCACTGTGGGAGAGCACTGGCAGAGGGAGGGAGTGGCACTATCTCAGGGGGGGAGGGCACCACTGCCCTGCGATCCCCTTGACATCACTGCTGCTGCACGCCTCGGCCATCTGGATGACATCAAAAGGATGCTCAGCTGTCCAGGGACAGTCTTGTGCAGGGGACGAGTGCAGGGGACGAGGCGTAATCTTCTCTGAGCCCCAGTCATCAATCTGTAAAAGCTATTGGAGGGGGTGAGGCCACGGGCCCCCCTCCTGCCCACGGGTGCCCGAATGCCCGTATGGTTAAAAGTAATATGCATACTTGTTCTCAGTCAGCAACCTAGAAAGGTTCTTAAAATAGCACTGTATCATTAAAATTCATACTTTACATGAATTAATAAGGCACATGTCAGTATTGAATTAGAACGTTCTTCTTTCTAACCCTCAATAGAAAATGTCTATCTAATCTCTAAGCTCAATCAGGTCACTTACAATTTAGGCAGACTTGGTGTCTTGGGTGAGTATGGTGTTTGACATCATTAAAGAACGCAGAGAATGTTGCAAAAACACAGTCCATTTCATGTTATCAGTAAGATAAGAGGATCACCAGGAAAGCAGACCTTGCTTATCTAAAAAGCATATACAGTATGGCTAACCATCTTCACAGGAAGCACATATGAAAGATTAACCCTTGCAGTGTGGCAACCCCTGCACTGTAAGGGTTAAGTGCATCTTTTTCTCTCGGGTCTAAAATACAAAAGATATACTCGCCCGATCCTCGACACTGCCTGGCTGCTATAAAGGTCACTGCAGCCTCTTCTCACTTGGGCTTCGGCAGTCTAAGGATCCGTGAGACATGCATTAGATGTGAGGATGCCAGAGTAGAGAAGAGAGAGGTGAGCTGTCACCACCACAGGATCGAGGTTCGGGTGAGTCTATCTTTTTTATTTTAGACCGTAGACCAAAATTAGTACTTAACCCTTGTGTGGGGGTAGGCCCATTGCAAGGGTTAAGTTTTTATGTGCCCAGAGTTTCTTCTTTCAAAGCATTCAAGCATTTAAACCATTAGCACACTTTGATAAGATTACATTTAAATGATCTTTATCATATATATTTCTAAAAACATTAAAAAAGGAAATAGGCCCTCTTCAAAAAGTGTTTCTTAGAATTTCATTAATTTTAATATATATTACACATACTCACCAAATGAGATATCCTGATAGCCCAAAAGCTCCATCTGGTGGCTGCAAAAGTTATATATTTCACATAGACAGGAATATATATATATATTGTGGCATTGTGAGGCAATATTTTCATTAAAAATGCATTCTCTATTTTTGAGTTTTAAATACAAGTTCACCTGTTTGTTTTGCAACAATTCTGAACAAATGTTTTTGTTTCCACAGCTACGGAATAATAAAGCTAAGGATGTTTGTCTAGACCAAGGCCCACAGGAGAATCATACAGCTATAATGTACCCATGTCACGGATGGGGCCCCCAGGTTTGATATTTCCCTATTTGTTTTATGGCCCACAGTTCGTCAGTTAGTCACATATAGATGATTAGAAAGATTTACGCAGTTGAACAGTAATAGTTTTGTTTATACTGGAATAATGAGCTTGCTAGGATTGCATTACTTTGGGGCTTGTTTATCAAGTGCAAGTATTCATAAAACCACTGAAGTGATATTATTCCTGCCTTTTATTGGCAAATCTAATTATCAAGCACATCTGCAGCAGATTAATTAGTCCTATCAAAAATAATGTAATGGTAGACTTGGTGGTCTATTCACAAAGCTGCCGAAGGATCTGGCCGTAGCTTCGGCCGATCCTTCGGCTAGCTTCGGCCCCAGGACCCCTTCGGTTCAGGAGAACCGAGGGGGTGCTGTACGGCTATTCACAATATAGCCGATATACGGCTGAAATCAGCCGTACCAGCCTGAAGTGAATAGCCGAACAGTGTTCGGCTCACTTCACTTCTGATCGGTCATTCACTCGGCTGCCCTCGGCAGCTTTGTGAATAGACCCCATAATATCTGGCCTTCTTTTAGGCCCCGGTGCTGCTTTTTTTGTAGTTTAAAGCATGTTAAAATAATAGAATTTGATAAATTAAATAATGTTAGCAGGAGGTAACTCACAATAAAAATAAATAAATAAAATAAAATAATAATCATAATCATAATAATAATAATGTTATTATGCTAAATTGGAAAAATATTTCAGTATATAATATGACCATATAAGCTTGACACAGCTTTCACAAAAGTCAGGGCAGCCCTCCCATCTACTGATTTTAGGATTTGTTAAACTCTGCAAGCTGCACTCCTGCAGTGTATGCCTATCTTAACTGTTTAACTAAGCATAATGAATCTTTCATGTAGGAAATGTTCATACAGCCAGGTTCAGGTTGTATTTGTACACTTAGCCTTAATGTGAAGGGCACTATATTACATGATCTAATAAAATCTTCCAACACTTTTTATTTTAATTATTTTTAAGTCATATTCTTTAACTAAGTGGTTTAATCCATGATTGATAAAAGAGTAAATCTAACAAAAAAACATGCTTTGTAGGCTTCTGTGTGTTTTTCTACATCATTTTTCTATGCATGAATGTTTTAAAGCACATAAATATTTCTCAATGCAAGCAGTTATTTTAGTGTTGTAAAGCTGTGTTCTCAAATCAATTTTGTATACTTGTATTGTTTGAACACAGAGCTGTAGCACAAGAAGCAGAAAATAGGATTTTTTTCAAAAGTAAAGTATTAAAAAGTGCCACTGCCCATACTCACTTATTAACTACAGTAACAGAGCACTTCTGAAAGGAATTCAAGGATGGAAACTCTAGGTAAAGCAGAAAACCCTTATAATGTGAGAATAAAAACACCCCAAACTAAATTAGATACTAAAGTTTCCAAATGTGTACTTTCAACAGTTGGATTCACTATGGGCCTTACCCTTATTTAAGTTCTAGTGGCCATTATGAACAATTGTGATTGTTTGTAGTTGCAAAAGTAGAGATAAGTTTACATCCTATGTATCAGATTATTTAGCAGTGAAAAAGGAATCTGCAAAGTAAACATAGCTGCTATCATCTTTCCTTGATTGCTGTCATGTACCTGATGGAGGCTAAGTGATGCAGGGGCATCCCTTGCACCTCCTGTCCAGCGATCCCTAAAGTTGAGACAGTGTAGGCAGGAGCTTGGAGAAGCACAAGTGCCTGTAGCAGGCTCAGATGCAGCAGGGTTACAGGCAAACCGAAGGTCAAACACAGCCAGGCAATGCAGGTACACAAGGAGAAAGCCAGGAACAAAGTCATGAAGCAAGCCACAAGCAGAGCCGGGCATAAAAAAAGTACAAAACAGCAACCAGGATATGAAGCCGGAGTCAGAAGCCAGGGACAAGCTGTCAAAACAAGCTGGGTCAAATCACAGGAGAAGCACACAGGTCAGGTCACAGGAAGCAGAAGCTGACAACCACTCGGCCCCTTAATGAAACTCTGGTTTAAATAGGCAGTCCTTGTTAATTATGCTCATGCACGTGTGCATTAACCAAGTAATGCCAGGCCCAAATGTGTATCAACGTGAGCAACATCTAACTTGTCCTGGAATAGGTACATTGCTTGACTGTGCACAAATGCAGGTCTTTAAGCATGGCCACGCACCTGATTTTCCTGACAACTGCTCTGAACTCATGCTTCAATAGCTTTCTGCATACCAGTGCTATTTAAACTGCTTTATTAACAAATATCTAAGAAGGGTGTCAGGAAAAAAACACATGATTCTTCTCTGTTCAGGTGATCACACTGATGTCTGTATGATATCTATGGAAACTCTAAGGGGGTTATTCACAAAGCTAGCCGAAGGATCAGCCGTAGCTCCGGCTGATCCTTCGGCTAGCTTTGACCACCTGAGCCCTTCGGTTCAGTAGAACCGAAGGGCTGCTGTACGGGCTATTCACTATAGCCTGTACAGCTCCCGAAGTTGACCGAGCAGCTCGGTCGAGCCGAAGGCATATGCTTCGGCTCGACTGAGCCGAAGTGAAAGCCTGATGTTGGATTGGCTGAGTCAAACTCATTCTGCACTTCATGTCAGGCCGAACATGCTGAGCATGTTTGGCCGACCCGAAGCCAGCCGAAGCAAGCCGATGTACGGCTGAAATCAGCTGTACAAGCTGAAGTGAATAGCCGAAGAGCGTTCGGCTCACTTCACTTTGGGTCGGTTATTCACACGGCTGTCTTTGGCAGCTTTGTGAATAACCCTGTAAGTTTGTCTTAAGGGCGTATTCACAGTAGTATGTTGAGCTGCGATTTTCGGTCATGATCAATGCAGGCTCAATGCAAGGGCACATAGAAAACACTTGTTCTCTGAGTGCCCTGTCCACACCATTCACAACATGCGTTGAGGTGCATTGTGGTGCACTGCGTATTAATGCAGCATGTCTGCATGTTTACGCAGCACAACACATGTCGCTTCACCACAGCACAGAAGATAGAGTTAAATGGAATGTAATTGTGTGATGTTTCAGCTAAAAAAAAAAGTAAACAGTGCACCGCTCTTTACATTGAACACCAGCGTGCACGCATTATACTGAGCATAATATGTGCAGACCGGTGCGAACAGGCCCTAACTGTAAACATAATTAGATCCACCTGCACAAGCAAGCTATTAAATAGATATTTAATGTTAATGCAAATTACATTTATTGAATTTGAAATATTTATATTTTAAATATTGCAATGCAATGTAAGAAACAAAAATACCCTTGTGAATGCACTGGTAGAATGGGTAGTGTTGAATAATAAAATTCTATCTGTTTGCAGCTTGCAAGATACACAAAAGAAGGATATCTTCATCTTGGAACTCTGGGGAGCACAATTCTCTTACCCGATACACGCTGTTTAGTAGATAACAAGAAAAGTAAATTCCCTCAGCTTATGGACTGTGATAAGGTGAAAAGCACACTCCACAAGCGCTGGAGTTTTATACAGGTAAATTATTTCTTCTATGGCCTTCCATTGTTTGCTTGATAAGAACACTTAAATGTTGTGGATGATATAGAAACATTAGGGAGGGAAAAAGCATTCTTTCAGTTTAATTGTTGTGTCATTTATATATTTCATTAACATTTAATTTGACAATTATACAGTCCCTGTTACAAACACATACTCTCCAGATCCATTGTTTTATGTATACCTCTTAGGATATCCAGTGAGACATATTAACACCAGAATGCCAGTTCTACCTAACTGCCTGGGTTGTCAACCTCAAATTTAATGATTTATTTATTTACAGTCTAGTGCCATTTATGGGCACATTAAAAAAAACATAATTGCAATGTCTTAATTGTAACAGTAATAGAGTGTGTACTGCTATAATTTTAACAACCATGGTTATAAATTTTAGCCAAACAATTATTGCCTTTTAAGTATTCAGAACAGTTATGACTGGAGAAAATGAGAAAAAAGAAGCAAGCAGTTTGACCCTAAGAACCTAGTGATAAATGTTTTGGAAAAAAGTGAAAGTCAAGAACAAGAACCACTTTGCCCAAATAATTTTTTAGCTGCAAACAACATGTTTGTTAACAATAATGTAATGTTTTATTTAATAAAAATTGTGTAGTAAAATATAACTCCAACAAGACACAAACACACTATTGCTTATATACATACATTTCACTTACTGCAATTACTTTTGCACGATATTCTAATTATTCGAGTTTCACCTGTATGTATGTATGTATACATACAGGTGAAACTCATACAGGTGAAACATACATACATACATACAGGTGAAACTCGAATAATTAGAATATCGTGCAAAAGTAATTGCAGTAAGTGCTGCAAAAGGGGCCCAAACCAAGTACTGAGTACATATGCATGCTTGTACTTTTCAGAGGTCCGATATATAATAATCTACTTTTTTGAGGTTGTGGATTTGGGGTTCTTGGGGTTTTCATGAGCTGTAAGCCATAATCATCACAATTATGACAAATCACGGCTTGAATTATCTTGCTTTGCATGTAATGAGTCTATCTCATATATTAGTTTCACCTTTTAAGTTGCATTAGTGAAATAAATGAACTTTGCACGATATTCTAATTATTCGAGTGTCACCTGTGTAAATATATATATATATATATATCAGGAGATAAATAATAATAAAATTTGTGTGTTAACCATTTATAAATGTTATCCTGTTCATTTCAGAACGGAGCAATAATGAATAAAGGCACAGGACGTTGTCTAGAGGTTGAAAGCAGAGGTAATGGAGGCATTGACTTAATTCTTCGAAGCTGCACAGGACAAAGGTGGACAATTAAAAACTTCATTAAATAGGAAGAATGTCCTAATGTTATTTGGAAACATTGGATACAGACTTCAGCTTTCAATATTGGATATTTCTACGGATTTAACTAGGAAACAAAACCTGGAGGGAAAAAGTAATGTATTCTTCTACTTTGGAGCGGGTCAGAACTTCTTTCAAGATTTAATTTAACAGGAGCCACTGAAAATAATTTAAATGGGCCAGTACTAAATCATCCATCCTGCATGCTTGGTGGTTAGTTTAATGAAACAAAAGATTGCCAGGCCTTATTTTATTAAAACACATTGAAATAGCAGCACAAAGGTTAAACATGTTTTTCTCTTCTGTTCTTGTGAAAGTCCTGTTTATCATGAATCATGACCTTGTATGTAAAAAATATATTACCATTTATGGGAGTCATAAGTCTTAACTAGAGATAGTGACACCAAATTGTTGCCAAAGTAATATACAGGTAGTCTGTTTAATCACAAGTGCAATACTTGCCTGCAACTTGTTTTGTGGAAATTGGCCATTTACTATTATAGGCACAATGCACAAAATATAACAATATAAATTCTACGTTTACAGATTTTTTGTTGTTGTTAACTATGTGTCAGCAGACTACTGTTACTTATCAAATGAAACAGTAAGCAAGCTTGATCACTTTGTTCCCTTAATAAAATTGTTTAGTTGTGGAACCAGTTATTGTGCCATTTTGTTTAAATACAGAAATATAATCATGCCACCTTCTCGGAAAGACCAAAGTTGTTTCTTTTCAAAACAGGACTGTAGACTGAGCCAAACTTATATATGTAAAATAGGAAGAGGTGGACCATGTGCATAGGAGCAGAAAATGTTGAAATGTGATTAAATAACTGTGGTATTGTAAAGATAGTTGTGTATATTTTGGGAAAAAGAATGTAACCCTTTGTTCACTTCAATTGTCTTCTCTTTATCCCTGGGCATTCTTGTTGTGGTAAAACTGGCTTGGTCATGCTGTCTTTACACTGTAGTTTACCTTCTTACTCCTTTCTCTTGGGGACTTTTGTCCCAAGTTATGTCTCTACAGTAGTTAGTGATGTTTAATAACATGAAGGTTAGCTGCTTAGGGTATAGTTCAAACATAATCAGGCCAATAGATGCATATACCCCTTTTTGAACTTAACAAAGTTCTGAACATAATGTTCATGGCAGATCACAGCTTGGAAAGGGAAAAACCAAGAGGAAATTGCAAGAAGAAAACCTACCCTCTTCAGATCCAGATACCAACAGAAAAGCTAAAGGGATGAAAAACAGATAATGTATTATGTAGTGATCTTCAATACTTACTTATTTTGATACATGATGTACCAATTATGTGATTGTGTAATATTTCAGAAACAATATGTTAATAGACATACTTTAAAGAGTTTTCCAGTAAAAGTGAAAAACCCTAGATGTTTTTGACCTCTCCAAGTTTCAGTGGAGCTCATCACCTACAACATCCTATATTTTAATTACCAGAGTGCTGCAGTGCTTAAAGTGTGCCACCTCCTGGCTTACTTTCAGAGCTCTATGGGGTCCATTGTAGCTGAATCAGCTAAATTGTTTCAAATATCTCAAATAAGGTTTTCACTGTTGCATAAAAAGGTGTTTGTTTTTTACTGGAGAACCCTATTAGAGGAAAAACCACCCTAACAGTTCTCACTACTATGGATGGTGTGCTTAAGATCAGGTTCAGTCCACTACTAGATCTTCACTGCTGTCTGGGATCCTGGCATTGACACTGCACCCAACCCACAGTTGGACCATAACATTCTAGGAGTACTGCTTAACAATAAATTATTGAGAAGGTTCTTCATCTTTTCATAGAAAAATGTATTAGAAATCCATTTACATTTTCAGGTTAGCTTTCATCAACGCTCTAAGCCTGTCCTAGCCATGTCAGGTTGGAAGGAGAGCTCCCTACCAGTGTCCTGGAAAACAGTGAAGATCTGACAGGGATTTAAAGTATCTGCTTGCACTGTAGTAGGATCCAAGTAAGGGTTTTAATGTGTTTAAAAATTCAATTAGAAAATACTTATGTTACCCATAAACATAAATGAATATGGAGCTGACAGTTGTTGGAACATGCATGCATTCATAAGTGTATATTAAAGAATCTAAAGTATGCTGGGAACCTCAGAGAGAAGCTATCTTTGCTTATCTTTGATGAAAACAGTGGAAGTGATCAGAACTTCCTACCCAGATAAACAGATGCAATCTACTTTGGTCTGTCAAGGTTATTTGTTAAGATTATTTTCGCCCTATATATTGTCCAGATATTTAACAATATGTCAAAATCTCAGATTGACGATTATCTGATCTAAATCTTAGATGATTGATAATCTGATGTCTGTTGGTAGCTTTGCTTTTGGTTAATTGACTGCCTGCTTAGAAGGTGTGTGCAGCTAAGCATGTTTTTAATTTTTTTTAAATAAAACATATCATGCATAAATGTAATAAATTCAGTGGAACTGGAACACAATAAACATGGCTCATAAAAATAAACAAGCTAAATGTGCAAAAGATGTCTGATGTGTTTGCATATACACATGATAGAAATATAATAACAGCAGAATTGTGCAACAATACAATGAGGTGAATAGGGCTGTGGTGCATTCTCTTTACTGCCAGAAAAAAAGCCTTGCTGCAAACACACTGGGTAGGTGGAGAATGACACTGCATGAGCAATAAAACATTCAATGCAGCCAATATCCCTGATATATAGCAAGAAGGGTGCAGCTAACTTTTGGGGCCTAACTACAATCTTCAGATGCTAACTAACCACTGGCCAGTGGGTAAAGAATGCCTGTCTGTGGTTGGACCTTATGAAATCAATATATGGTGGCGCGGTCAAACTTCAATGTCCAGTTATCCTCTGATGTCCAACGAATGTCCTCCATATCCAGTCCATCCTCTGATAGTTGCTTCTGTGGGATGAAAGAAGGTGAATGAGAAGTAGACCACACTATCCTGGCTGGACGAGGACCGATGAGAGGTAGGGCACATTGCCCCTGGTGGCTAGTACACAAGATATCCGAATGGGAACTGTGCCTTCTCATCTCTCTCCTGGCACATCTCTGGTGGCATGTGGGTCCTCTGTTGACTATCTGCCTTCCCCCTTGTCCTGGTGTGTATCCAGGGCCAGGACAAGGGGGAAGGCAGATGGGCCATGTGCCCCGGGTGCAGTTGTTCCTTGGAAGAGGGAGGCTCAGCCACAGCATGACAGAAAGTCTCTGCTACCACTGCTACCCAGCTGCCCACAGCAACAAAATAGACTGAATCCATGGGGTGTCCAGGAGGGTGAACCAGGATGTGACATTACAGAGTGGCAGAGGGGTGCTGAGTGCCACCTGGTGCCCTCTCTGTATTCTCCAGGCACCCAGCACTATGACACAGACAGGGCCAAGCAAACTACACTGAGTGGCCAGATTATTATGACCACCCCATCAGTACTTCGTTGGGCCACCTTTTGCCTTCAATACTGTGGCGATTCTTCTTGGCATTGACTCCACGAGATGTTGAAAGGTGATGCGAGGAATCTGACACCATGCCTGATGAATAGCACTGTCCAGTTCTGTGAGATTTGATGGTTTTGGAACCAGCTGCCTGATGGCTCTTTCAACGTTGTCCCACAAATGCTCAATCGGATTGAGATGTGGTGATTCTGGGGGCCACCTAAGGAAGGTAAAGTCTCCCTCATGTTCTTGAAACCACTCCTGCACAATACGAGCACCGTGGCATGGCGCATTGTCTAGTTGGGAGAAGCCATCTCCACTGGGATACGTCATGAACATGATAGGATGAACTTGATCAGCAACGATACTTTGGTATGTTATGCTATTCAGACGTTGTTCCACATGAATTAAAGGGCCCAAATCATGCCAGGAAAACATGCCCCAAACCATAACACTGCCCCCACCAGCTTGAAGGGTTGTACTCATGCATGTGGGGTGCATGCTTTCATGCTGTTCCCGCCAAATTCTCACTTTGCCATCTGCATGATGCAACTGGAAACGTGATTCATTGGACCACATTACTTTTTTCCAATGCTCGACTGTCCAATCCTTGTGTTCCTGTGCGAATTGGAGATGTTTTATCTTGTTAACTGCAGACAGCAAAGGTGTTCGAACAGGCCTTTGGATTCCATATCGCATACGATGCAGTGTACGGCGAACAGTGCGTTCAGAGATCATTTGAGAGGATCCTTGATTAAGATCTGCAGTAATTTGATACACTGTTACCCTTCTGTTGTCTTGTACCAATCTTGCCAGTCTCCGTTCTGCCCTAACATTGACTAGTTGCTGACGGCCACAATCCGCACGTTCAGACCCAGATTTTCAGCTGACAGTCTAGTCTTTAAACACTTTAACAACAGCTGCTCTTGAACATTTAACTAATTCTGCTGTTTTGCTGATACTCGCTCTATGGCTCCGAGCGCTAACAATCATCCCACGTTCAAAGGCTGTTAAATCGCATTGTTGACCCATATCTTCAGAAAAAATCACTTCTACTGTTGTGGTAAACAACCTGCTTCCCTATTTATAATGGTCTGACCCTCTAGCAACTTCCGCACAAAATGATAGCTAATTTGCCTGCAAACGTCAGATGGACATAATAATCTGGCCACTCAGTGTAGTTCCTCTGTCATGCAAAGGCAGAGTGATCTCTGCCAGACAGGTAAATTAAAGTCCGGGCCAGTATGTGACTTCATTTTTCAGAGAACTGCATTGCCTTTGTTCTCCAGCTCCAATGTTTCAGGTATGGTTGCACCCACTGACACGAATGCTGAGGGTTATTATTGTGTATACTGATGTAAATGCTGGGCATTATTATTGCGGCCACTGAAAACAATATAGGGGTAATATTTCATCCACTCGCAACAATGTTGGGA